TACAATTGCTCGTCGCGGCAAACAGGATTATTATACGAGAGTGGGGGGTGGACTTTATAATAATTAGCATCCACGGTCGTTTCCATAAAAAGCCGTGTGTAAAGTATTATTTATTTATGCCCGCGGAGGAATTAAGATTACTTAACGCGCGGTTCTTTCAAGACGGCCGTATAAATCGCGAAACTCACGGCTCCGCTCGTTGCATCCGAGCCACTCTAAACGAACAGAGTCCTTCTCGCTCCGTCTCTACGCGCGAAACCTGTAATTATCCTATTTTCATCTGGAAAGCGTTTACTCGTTTAGATAATGAACAACTCGGCGCGCGCGGTCTGATATTTCCGAATCAATCCAGCCGCCCCGATATTTATTACACTATCTTCGCCGCGTTTCTTCTGGAAATTCACAGCGTCGTAAAGGCGTGCCGTTTACACGGGATCGTTCTAATTCTTGTTGTCATCGGCGAGAGTAAAAACGGCGCGCACACCGAAGCGTGCGTTATTGCGCAATAATGAATCGATCGCTTTAATCGTTTACGACGAATAAACGCGGGAGTGTAAAAGGAAGGAGAAAAGTGAAACAGCTTTTTCGGAATAAAACGACGGGCCAGCTTTTGCCCGGTCGCCGTTGGTTTATTAATGCAACGAATGATCGTTCCTCGCTTCGTTAAAACGTAATCACGTTCAATTATCCGAACAAAGTGTCCGCCATTTCGGTCGGATAATCGAGGTCGCGCTGTAATTTGAATAAACCACCGCGCGAAAAATCCGCCGATGCGTATCGCGAGCGCAAAAACGAAACGTTAACCGTTTCGGTGCTTTCATCGGCGGTGAAAAATATTTCGCTCGAGTACACCGGGTTCACTCTCTATCGGCAAACGCGGTCTCCTTTTGAAAACCGTCAAAATGTATCCCTTTGAATTTGCAAAAAAAAAAAAAAAAAAAACGACCGATCACTCTGTTCTCGCAGGTCACCCGGATCGCGTTATCAACAAATTGCAATCGATCATTGTATTCGAGGAATATTACATCATAGAATATTACCTCCATGAACCTGTACTCGCAGAAAAAAAAAAGGAAGAAAATAGAGAAACGAAGTAATAAAAATGAAAGGATCACGGTGTGAGAGGCAGTCGAAGATGAAAGAAGGCAAACAAGACGAGAAGCAAGAATACCGCTCGCGGGGATTAAGCGCGAAACCAGCCACGTCTGGCCCATCCTTTAATCCCACCGAATATTAACCAGATTCGCGGTCCAGGTCCTTTTATATTTCGCCGGTGACGGCATTCGTTCGACCGTCTGCCAAACTTTCTGTTTCTCGAGCGTGCGAAAAGAGAAAAATGAAACAAACGCGAACGACACGAAATGTCAACGAGAAGATACTCGAGAAAGACAGAGAGACAAAATTGACGAACGAAAGGGGCACGCGTGTAGTATACGCGCCACTGTCGCGAACGCAACAACCGGGGGTAGGGGGTTGGATACACGTAGGGGGCGGCAGGGGGTGAAAGTGTGTGTGCGCGCGGGATGAGAGAGAGTCATAAAATCGAGCGAAGTGAACGCCAGGAGGGAGACACTGAGTGATGTCGGTGACAGCCGCCTCTCTGCCCTCCGCCGCCTCCGCCGCCTCCTGTCGCTATTACTCACCGAACGCCGAATACCATTCAAAGTTCGAAACCGCACGTTCGCGACCCAATTCCTGCGTGGAGTCAGCTGTTCGTTCGGTTCATTCAAAGCTCGATCGACCGCCGCAGCCGCCGCCGGCTAGCTGGCCGTCCCGCGACCAGACGCTTTTGAATTAATAACGCGGAGAGTAACGTGAACGAGAGAGAGAGAGAGAGAGAGAGAGAGAGAGAGAAAAGAGGAAGAAAGTGGAGAGAGAAGGAAGTGAAAAAAAAATAGAAGGGTAAAGTTGGAGGGAGAGGGGGTGGAAAAAAAAGAAAGAAAGAAGGAAGGAGGATAAAAACGAAACGATGTTCAGCTCGCGAGAAAGTCGAGAGCTTTCCACCCGAGCATGTCTCCCCTTTGGCCAAGCAATGAAATATGAGAGCGAGTTGAAAATGACAGCGTCGATACGCTAGCGCGATCCTCCCCCTTTACGGTCGAGCCTTTTCGCGCGTTCGACCAAACCAGCCACGACGAGGAACCATCCGACGGCCGGCATTTAACACGAGCCTAGTTATTTGTCAGGATCATCGGTTGCGTTATTTAAGACGTCGAGCAGCAACCACGACGAATTCCTTGCCAACCCGCTCTCCTATCTTCGCGGCTATTCTTCTATTTCTGGCGCGATACGCGCGCCGCTTCTCGCCTTTGCCAGAGACCAGCATGAGAAATTTGGAGAGACGAGTGTGTGTCTGTGTGTATAGGGTTCGACTGTGTGATAGAACTGCATAGATCAGTAGATGGTAATTGGAAGATTCGAAATTGACATTCGATGTTCGAGAGAATGAATCGACATCGACACTATAGCTACTGATGAATTTCTAAAGTGTTTCTCTCATGGTACATACACCGTTGCACATTGAATAAGTTCCTTTAATAGAAAACGAACATAAGAAGTATCACTTATAAATCATTCCACGGGCACATTTCCTCTGTTTTACGTTTAAAGGTTCACATGTAACAGGAATCTACCAGAGTTGGGCTGCACCATAGAGGAGCCTGGTGTAAACTCCAATCGGACAAATTCTAAGTTCCCTTAGTACGAGACGAAGGCAGAGTAACAACGCATTCCCGTAGTAGACGGTGTCGTCGTCGTCGTCGTCCTCGTCATCGTCGTCCTCGTCGTCGTCGTCGACGTCGTAGTCCGTCGGCGGTCTCGTTGGTAGTGGTGTAGCGATGGCGGAGAATCCAGTGGTTCGCGGTCTCGCCGGCACGGCGCTGCGGTGATAGAACGGCGGTGGGGATGTGGGCGGTGCCAGGGGGCGCATTGGCCGCGCTCAGTGGGCGTGGCCGCGCGCCTCCCACTCCTTGGCGTAGCGCGGCGCTGATTGACAGTTGGCGAACGACTGCGGACGGCGCAGGATCTAAAACCGCGCTAGGCGCTGCTCTCCACGCTCGCTCGCTCCGCTCTTCTCTTACCCGTGGCTATACCCGGTGCTTTTTCGTGGGGGAAGAACTCGAAACACGCATATTCCCGTGGCTGCCTTTGCCCGCCGGCCCGCGCGCAACATACACACCAACCTTCCACCTTCTGTCCGCCGGAGTTACGAGTGGCACACGCAGTAGTAGTTACGGTTAGGGAGGAGGGTCGGCCGCCGTCTCGCGGACAGCTCTCTCGCGCGTCACCTCTTCTCTCTCCTCTGCGTGACCGGTTCGTTCGTTCGTACGTTCCGTTCGTTCAGTAATCGCCGCGAGGAGGAACGCGCTTCTTCTTCCGCCGCAACCCGCGAAACTCCGTTGACGTTTTACCGACAACACGCGTTTATACAAATCCGGTCGATTATCAGAGCGGTCGTCGCGTTACCAGATTTTAACCATAATCGAGGTGAGAGTTTTTTCGAAACCCCGGTGTGTGTTCGTTACCTATCCTGTGCCACGTATAGTAAACGGCAACCTCGGAGATCTAACGGCGCGCGACATACCATCAACAACTACCGCACACACACACACACAGAGAGAGAGAGAGTGTGTTTGCTCGTGGCAACGTCGCCAAAGTTGTCGCCTCTCTGTGCCGTCGCTTCACTCTGAGAATTCGTTCGTGGACGCGTCTTAGAACACGCGAATTTTTCTACCAACTACAACGTGGACCTAGTTGTTTTTGTAAAACCTGTTGTGTGGCTCGAAAATAGAAAAGACCGGACCATCGGTGTGCCTCGTTCTCTCTGATCGATAGAGAAGGGAAAAAAAAATTCATCGATATCACACACACACACACACAGAGAGAGAGATAGAGAGGAAACCATCGGAAGATTCGTGGTTACGCGGTTTCTTACCTTCGTTACGTGTTACAATTACGGAAGCACGCCCAAGTGTCGCGCGCGATTCTGTGCTCGTCCGTGTTCATCTCAACGTAGACGAAACTACCGACGACTTTCTACACCCTTTGACTTGGCGCCAAATAAACCCGCACAGTGCGTCGCGCCCAAGGATGTAAACGTGTTCCCGTCGTTCAGTGACATACATCTCGATACCTTGGTGTTACTTACGCGTGTCGTTTTATTCTGTGAGAAACCAACCCAAGTGCAGCGTAACAACACCTCTCCGACGGCCAACCGCTGATAATTCACATTACGTCTCCGTACAAAAGTGGACAACAACGACCCTGCAAGAAGAATCCAATCGTGAATGATAATTGCAAAACGTGTGATACCGTAGTGTATAAATCAGTTGCTATGAAAAAAGATTAAAGGAAACAGGAGCAGCGTGAATCGTGAGTCGTCGTCATCGTCGTCGTGGTCGTTTATCCGTCGGTGAACCAAGTAGTCTAGTTACGTGCGTCGGTAAACATCCGCGAATTTTTTTCCCTAATTATCAAGATCAAGAAAAAAGAAAGAAAAAAAGCTTCATTTCATCTTCATCTCAAAGAGAGATCGTATTAAGAAGATCGATACAAAGTGGTGCAAAAAGAAGTATCACACACACACACGCACACACACGTATAAAATATAGAGTGTGTGTATATGCGCAAGAAAGTGAAGTAAATCTCAGCGTATAATGTCGCGAGACTGACGCTACGTAGAGAGGTAGGTGGCAGGCTCTCTGGTTGTCTGGTGAGCGGAACTTCCGGCGGTGGTGACCGGGACGATGAGGAAGCACGTGTGTCCGGCCGTAGCCGTGGTCCTGCTGCAGCGTTCAATCGCGCGTCCTGAGCTCTGCTGACGCTCGCCTCGATTTCTCCGCGTCACACAGCGCGTGTCTTGTGTCGCCGGTCGACTCGGATCCGGGGATCGTCGAGGACCGACGGAGCCAACGAGATTTGTGTCCACCGTGGGACTCTTATCACAGACACGAGCTACCGTCGGCTACGAGTGTCTTTCTTCGTACATCTCTACACCGATTCAAGAAGAATATCGTTCGAGAGAGGAAGAGAATTCTTAGAGGAAGAACTATTCGGTGGTCGATCGACGGGTGATTTTAGAATCGTTTCCAAATTTTTGGAAATTATCGGTGCGCGGTGTCTCTACCCTTTCTTGAATCGCTCCTCCGAGTGCGACGTACGACGAAGCAATAATCAACGCGTGTCTTCTTCTTCTTCTTCCTCTTCGTCTTCGAGTGTGCTACGAACGGGAAACAGGCGAACCGATCGCTGCGATAAGCCGAATCGAAAAGTGGGGAAAGCAGTGTGTGTGAAGTGTTCGAGGTTACTTGCTTATACTGTGGGAAAATACAGCCGCTACGGTGGCTCAGCACGCAGAGTTCCCCGGCGCGGCCAGGGCGTTCATGGCGCAGCCAAGGGTACGTCGATACATCGATACATCGATGATTTTACCTACTTTTTCCATTAGGTTTCGCGCGAAACTTGTGCCGAGAGTTAACGATCGTTACGTACACCGATATATACGTATACACGCTGTGTCGTTTCGCTAATTTTCGCGACACACGTGAAAGGTAGATCGGTATCCGTCGCTCCCGATGTATTATAGCGCGTTCTCTCTGTCCCTCTTGTCCCATGATCAATCAGAAAGATCGATGCTTATGATACCGTAAATACTACTTATTGACCGCATCGAGTAGGGTAGAGATAGATTTATTTGTTGGTGCAACTACAGAAGGCTTAGAATTGGCTGTGCGGCGATTTAGTGCTCCCCAGACACGGTTAAATCGAGTTCGAAACCGGCAACAGGAAGGCCGCTGTTCAGACGCGTCTTGCGTGTAGGTTACGCTCGGTTCACTGGCCAAACGATTCGTACACGGGTCTCGAAGGGACTTTACTGTTTACGCCGGGCTTCGCTGTAATTGAGCAACTTCGATGCTCGTGGTACGCTACGACTGCTCGTACTAGACCTTGTTGTTGTCGAGGATCCATTCATTCACGTGTAATTCTATTATGGACCACTGAAGAGTGTTTTCGCGTGAATCGAAATTTTTTCCTGTTCTTCCGGAGACGTGAAATCCTTGAGATTCGATAATTCCTCGATTATCCGGGTAAAATGATCGTCTGCGAAGTGTAGTGTCGTTGAGGATCGATTCGTAGATGTGCAACTGTATTTTGTACAAATTGAAAAGTGTTTTCGCGCGAATGAAAATTTTTCGAAATTTCTTGGAAAATTAGAGATGTTTGAAATTCGTGGATTTCGGGGTAAACAAATTGGGTGCAAGTATAGTGACGTCGAGGATCGATTCGCAGACGTGTAATTTTATTCCATACGATTGAAGAGTGTTTTCGCGTGAATTGAAATTTTTCGAGATTTCTCGGAAAATCAGAAATTTTTCCAATTCGAAAATCCTCGATTTCGAGGAAAAAGAGATCGTCCGCAAAGTGTAGTGTCGTCGAGGAAGAATTTTTCAACGTGTAATTTTACCGAGTACAAATTGAAATGTCTTCGCGCGAGTCGAAATTTCCCGATTTTTCTCGCCATTTCTTCGAGGACTTCTTCGAAAATTCTTCGATTCCGGGGCAAAGGGATCGCGTGCAAGTGTAGTGTCGTCGATCAGGTATCCCGCAGAAACTCTCCCGAGGTGGACAACCCGAAATTATCATTTTACGGGGCATCGAGATGCACGCTCGAATCGATACGCGGGAGAGAGCAGAGCCCGTCGTTCGAGGAATTGATTACAATTCTTGTCGTCGACTGGAATTTCGTTCACGCGACCATCATTCCGGGCCACTGCCCGCCTCGCCCGTCGTTCGAGGAATTGATTACAATTCTTGTCGTCGACTGGAATTTCGTTCACGCGACCATACGCCTTGGCGTATTCTCCCGATTTCCACTTGTCGGTCGCCACCAAATTTCAACTCCGTACGTGCCTTCACTGTCCGTCGGACCTCGAACAGCGTCCACTTCGTGCAATGTTCCTCGATCTTTCTCCTCTCTCGAATTTTACACGCTTCTCCCGAAGAAACTCTCGACTCCACGCAATCCAAAATAGAGATCCGCTCAGTTGTGAAACTTACGTCTCGCTAAAAATAGAAGTTACGTTTGATACTCGACAATTAACAAGTAGTAAATCCTTCTTATCAGCGCTTGATATTTTTAGAAAGATCTGTCGTTCGAAGAATTTTCTCACAAGAAGGGTTGTCGAATTGATATTCGAGTGTTTCGTACTTACTTAAAGTGCTCGAGGCACGGAGGGAAAAAATGGGTACCGTTTGGTAAAGTGAAACATTTTCACCGATGAACGATAACACCAGATGTCGAGATAAAGAATTTATCAGGTCCGCGCGCGTCCGGTCGATCCGTGTTACGATTTCGTCCGGCATAATGTTGCTCTTGTGAAAGGTTAATCGGTCAGGTTTTCTGTGACGTTTCCTTGGAATTCCAGTCACTCTTCCACGGTGTTTTTATCGAGCCTTGACCAAGTGAAAACGGTATCGGTGTCGATAAAGAGCTTTACGAGATCGCCGATAAGCGACGATCGCTCGCGTGCCGGCCGATTTTCAAGTGACGGAACTTACCTCTCCGTTCGAGCCGTCCTACCGACGGCCTTCTCTCGTCCCTGTCGATCTTGTATCTCGACTAAATGCTTCCGTCCATTTTTCCTGCGGCCAGACGTAAACGTCGTTTATCGACACCAAAATTTCTCTCTTATCGCAAAAATTTCAGTCGCCGCTTGATAATTTCCTCGGTTCTCTTTCGCCTGTGATTTCTGGGAAAATTCGACGGCTGCTTGTGAGAACAGTTCGATCGAGGTTTCTTGAAAATGGGAGATTCTTTGAGTTTGTAGTTTTAGGGGAACTGTTAGAACGACGAATAAATTTTCCACTATTCGACTATTTCTCGCGAAGATCATTTTATCGAGTGTCTTTTAGAATTGCGTATTTTTGATATTCAGAGTAGAGATTTGTTGAGTTTGTAATTTCGTGGCGTATTTGCTTTCTTGGAAAATTCGATTACATTTCGCGAAGATAATTCAACGGAGGATTTTTGATAAATCGTGTATTTTAGATGTCTATTTAGAGCGGAGATTCGTTGAGTTAGCAATTTTTCTGGAGATTTGTCGCACCGGTAATTTCGCAGTGCAACAAAAAGGAATAAATTTTCAACGGTATAATTTATGAATGTAAGTGTCTTTTATGAAGTGAGTCTGATAGAAAATTTGTGTCACGTTTTAATAATGGACGGTGATTTGTTCCGCCGCCGCTGGAAATTTAAGCAGGAACAGTCTGTCCGGAATGTATAATCCGAAATTCGATTTTAGTAAGGCACCGGTAAACTATTGGTTAATATTAAATTCACCGACCCGGAGGCATTTCGATTAGCGTTAAATTATTTAGAAAAATGATCTCGAACAAAAAGGGTATTCAGCGTGGTTCTCGTTTTGTGTTCTGAATTATGCATCCAACATTCTGACATATTAATCCGTTGGAAAAGTTCGCGTATTTCTAAAGCGTGTATTTCAAGTTGAAACAGAAGGGAAATCCTTTATTAATCTCGTCGACACACATTCATCCGCTTGAACATTTCATATTCTACGTGTAATCTAACGATTTGAACATTTTCGTCAAATGAAAAGAAAAAAAAGGATGAAATCAAACGATCATCTCTTTCTCTTCGTACAACGTCAATTTCCTTTCAATCTGTACCAAAAGAAATTACCGCTTCGAACTAGCTCGCCGCCATTTTACTCATCACTGACCGCCACCACTAACTTTAATTAAACCGTGCACATCGCGTTACCACTTGTATTCATCAAACAACGACCCTGATCGATATCAGCAAAAAAAAAAAGGGAAGAAAAAACTGTCCTGCTGCAATCTATCTTGAACATCGTCGTTTCAATCTTATTACATAATCTATTCTTCTCTCGAATCACGAATAATTATTACTAGCAAAACGTTTACTGAAAAATTTTATCATAATTATCATAATTACACGAATAAATTCTTATCTTAAATTCTTTAAAAAATTCTTCTCTTAATTACAATATTGACACGAAACTTAGGATTCAAGGTGTTAAATTGCAATGCTAATCGTTCTCAGAAATATCGGTGTGAATTTTTCGCCTAAAAGTATTACAGTTAGTGAAACACTGAAAAAAAAAAAAATTATCGAATGACAAGTGAGATTGGATTATTAGGATTTTACATATTGCCTCGAAAAATCGTTCATACATCTCCTCTGACCCACGTGCACAGTGGAACAGAAAATCACGCTCGTGAAACGTACAGTAATCTTTCGTTTGCCGAGTTGAACTTCGATTACACAGTCTCTACCCTCTGGTAGCACGAAAAAACGAAGGAAAACGCAATGGACGCGGTGGGCGGAAGCGCGAGGGGAAGCTTCTGTGCGTTTAATTGCGAGCCGGGCCAGCGTGGAAATAATGAGAGCCGCGGATTGGTCGGTGGTAGGAAATAACACGGTGCATCGACGGTGTCTCAATCGGGTTCTCTCGCATGGCGGTGCACGTTTTACCGCTCAATTTTCCCGGCGGCCTCTCGCTGGCCCTCGAAATTGCCGCCTCGTGCGTGCGTTTCGCCAGCGAATCTCTCTTCCGAATACCGCGAGAAACGTAGCAATTCGAGCGACGCGTCCGGATCTGTCGAATTTAAACCTGCCGTATTCCGACGATACTTTTTGTAATTTTGTGGCGATTTTCACTCGCTTTCGCGAGTGTTAGGCCAGTTGTTGAATGTGAACTAAATTTAAATTGTCAGCAAATTATTAATATCTAAAAAAAAAGGAGTAGACTTCCGGTTAAAAATTTGGCTGACCACTGTGCATTGCAAGTTGTAGAAAAAATTGTGGAAAATAGTTAGCAATTTTAGGAATTTTTTAACCAAGTTTTTTTTATCATTCGAGTAAATCGAAATGAGGTAAATTTCAAATTAGTGGCACACTCGATATTGCTGTAAATTGGCTGGCGATTCGAAACTTTTGACAGGTAGTGTATAGTTTCACTGATATCGTCGCTTTAATTCCGCTGGATAATTCATACTCCATTCATAAATTCTGAGAAAGAGGCGATAATTGAATTTTTCTGTTTTTCCCTCGAACCTCCTAATTTTCGTGAATTCACATTTTCTGGACATTTTCCTTGCAACTGTGGTATCCGCCAGGAACCATCGCCGCGGAGTTTCAGCGAAATATTTCGGAATTGGACGTTCCTTTTTTTTTTCGCGTGTGTATACACATTTGCAGGATTAAAAATTCCTGGGAGAGAGGTGAATAGCGTCGAGGATTTTTGTCCAGCGGCGAACGAGCCGTGATTATGTATTTATGGGTATCCATCAATCACTTTCGCTCTCCCAATCGCCGCGGATATCGGCCTTTAGCCCCGTGGATTAAAGTCGTATC